CTCCCTCCCTCCCTCCCCACCGTGCGCGTGGCCCCCAGGTGCTCCTTTAAAGTGTGCGTCTCGAGCATGAGGGCATCCCACTCGTTCTGAAACAGGGCCAGCAGACCCGGCACCGATGAGGCCGTGACGGGGCGTGGGCGGACGACTTGGAAGGGGGGGCAACGAGGAGAATAAACAGGATTGCTCGGTTAGGACGTGGTATCAGGTATGTAAAGGGGGGGAGGGGAGGACGCGGGGATGAGGGAGGGAGGTGGCGAGAGGGTGTGCCCCGTGCCATTTCTGTCGGATACAAGGATTTCCGCCACGCGAGCAAGCACCCACGAAACTCCCATCAGTGAACTTCCCCTATCGGCCCACTTCCTCTCTTCCCGCGCGGCTTACTCGTGCTGGCCTTCACAGGGATAAGGTCGTCCGGGCAGAGCTCTTCACCATTCGCGGGGTCCTTGTGCTCGGCCTCGATGTATTTCAGAATGACACGCTGTGTGAATTGATTTAAATTAAGGCAGGGAGTCGGGAAGCGACATGGGTTGAGAAGGAAGTGCATATCGAAGAGAGGGTTGACCCCTCAGGCCTTTCCGCTGCCGCCCTAAACACCCACCTTTTCATACAGCACACCGGATGGACGAGACAGTACAGGCTCCTCGCATATTTCGCCAGAAACTGTGGGTTCGCACATGGACGACCGGTGAGATACACGAAACATGCGGTCCGATACGAAGAGGGAAAGATGAGGATGGAACACTTACTCCCACAATGCATGACTGGGATAGAGGCGACGCCTGGACAAAGGCAACGACGGCAGTGCTGATCCCCCCTGTATACAAACTTAATGGGTGGTAGGTAAGTTTTGGTAAATATGTGAGACTTAATGGCGCAATAATGGTGGGGAAATGATATGAAGAAGGAGTGTGCTATGCGTCGGCTCTCAGGTACTGGTAGAAGGCTTGCTGTCCAATGATGACAACAAAAGCCAAACGCTTCGATGCCAGTGCCACGAACAGCCATATCCCCACAGGCATTCACCGCGAAAACGTTTACAGCCTAGCACAGGCGCAATCCCCTCCGGAAGTCTGCACGTGGCGATCTCATTGTCGTGTCCCACCCGAAAGCCTTCGTCTCGTAGGCTGGGTGTCGCATGGCCCAAGGGGGGGCAGGAGGTTAAAATCCTTTCCATAAAGGGTTTGTCCCCTTTTTCGTGGGGGATGGTGCCAACAATGGTAAATTGCGTCAAATTCTAACTAAAATTCCTTGTTTATTTTCAAGTGTTGTGAAGCGAAGCGAGTTCTTGTGTATAAAGTGCTGATTTATCTTCCAGTTTCGTCCTTCAAGGGTTTTTTGCCTCTTTTGGATACATTACTTGACCGCCTTGTCTCCTTTCAAGCTTATCTATCAATCAAAGGGACTTATAGCATAATAGAAGGGAATGAATAGAAAATGTCAAAGTAAGCAGCAAAAGCCCCTGGATATTACTTCCTAAACAGAGAAAGTAGACGGGACTTTTTATGAATGTAAAGCTTGATTTACAAATTATTGATCTTTTCTTTGCTTATTCCGGCTTTTCAAGCACGTATGAATCTTAAAACGTGTAAGACTTCGTTTCGAGCTTTACGGGAGCGTACCACCTGTTTCATAGAGGAAACGTGAGAGGGGCAAGGAACGTAAGCACGGCAGACAACATAATGCAGACGTGCGCACACTGGTACCGCCAGCTCCATTCTCATCCTTCTTCAACATACCTCTGCCTGCAAATTTTCTTCCCGCATTCTGGCGCAAATATCTTCTGGAAGATTCTCGTTCACGGCTACCAAGTACATACATCCACCCTGAGGGCGAAGAAGGTTCGGAATGGAGTCGAGGATCCTGTCCAGCACCTCTCTTCCGTCTTTCCCTCCTGCCCAACTGGCTTCAATACCATGCGAGCCGACTTCAGAAGTAGGTGTGGGGACGTAAGGAGGATTAAACACGAGCAGATCGACCGAGTGGAGGAGGCGAGGAAGGAGGGGGGCGAGGAGGTCGGCCTGGAGGATTTCATGGTGCAAAATCTGAAATGAGGAGGACAAAGGAGTCAAACGAAAAAATAGATTATTCAGGGGTGCCCATTTTGGGAGATGTAGCAGTAATCGTAACACGTGAGGGCCTCGACCGGAGATAAAAAGAAGGGATCCGAAGGACATCCCAATCAACGTTGTGAAAACTTACACTATTGGCTGAGCCAGTGGCCTGAGTCGCACGCACAGCTCTGCTATTGATATCTGTGGAAATAAATAATGTGCAGTGTTCGGGACCAAGGGCATCTCGCAGCGTGCGTGCCAGGACGGCTGTCACACACCCGCTTCCTGACCTGAGCATGGCAGGTTTCCGTAAGTAAGTATAATCAGCACGCGTGATCGTAGCGGCGTGGACACATTTGTAGGTAGATATAGCATAATTATATTCACAGCGATGCCGCAATATGCTTATACACGTGGATCGTTGAAATTAATTTTACATCTTAAGGTACAGCCTTACCCTATCTCAACCACAATGCGCGGCTTTCGGGCTTTTAATTTTTGTGCATCCGCTTCCAACGCATCCATGAGGAGAAATGTATCATCTGATGGCTCGTAAATATGCCTAAAGTCATCCATGGTCAAATGATCGAGATCAGGAAGCTCGGCTTGAGGGCTAGGAGGGGCGCTGAGGGACGACATGAAAGAATGGGAGGACTGCAGTGGCGGTCAATCGTCGGATGGTAAGCTGCGTCGACTCGCTCAGCCCGGCGCTGTCTAATTTTTGCTCAACTCAGTGCTTCATCTGCTGTGGGGTAGGAAATATGGCTATGTGACTCCATAAATTTTCAAAGAACTTTGTTCACGCATAAGACAGAACGAACGGTTCGAAACGGGCAAGATCCCGACGCTTGCCTACTGGTGAACTCACAATGATTGCTAATTAATGAGCGTTACGGTTCTTGAAATTTTTACTTATGTATACTTTCATTTTAATTACAAGTTGAGCGTGTCATTGACAAGTCTTACCGCTCTCAACTCTCAACGACAATTGCTCGCCTAGTCCTAGAAGCAGTAGTATCTTCCTGCTTTGCGGCGAAGGGAGAAGGACGCAGTAGTCACTATTCCAATCCCATTTATCTTTCATTCCATTATGAAGCGTCTGGTCTTTCTCTTTTGCTTAACATGTGCTGTGCAAATAGGGGTGAGAAAAGCGGTGGTTCGAGGTTGGCGTGGAGTAGGACGTAGTGCTGTGTCTTACCGATGCCTTTTTTATTTTGCTCAAATCTTCCCTACCCCGAGGCAAGCACACGGCTATCCGAGGAGAGAGGCAGCACCACTCAAGAAATCAAATCTCGGTCAGTGGCACGCGTTGCTTCGCGGAGCTTCTTCCACTTCCATAGTTTTGAGGGGTGATTTTATTGGCCGCAGAACCAAAATGATCCCTTGTCGTCAGAGCCTGGGCCTCCCCGTGGCAGTTGCCCTCCTGTCCTGCGTATTCCTCTCTGTGAGGGCTTTCCACCTGCCTTCCCCCGCCATCAGAACACGTATATCCAGCAGCACGTCTATCAGTGCAAGCCATGGGCGCCCTCGCTCCCTTCCCTCCCTCTACGCCTCCTCCACCTCATCTCCCCCTGCATTCGGGCAGTTTTTGACCGACCTCCTTGGCGATCTTTTCGCGGGCCCCGAGAAAGTGGAGGAAACCGACGTTCTGGTGGTGGGCTCTGGGATCAGTGGCTCGACCACCGCGTTTTATCTGAACAAAGCTGGAGTCAAGTGTCTGCTGACAGAGGCCAAACCCGTGGTGGGAGGGAACGTGATCAGTAAATCGGAGTCCGGCTTCTTGTGGGAGGAGGGCCCGAATTCCTTCCAACCCACTTATCCGCTCATGCAAGCGACTGTAGACATGGGCCTGGCCGATGAACTGGTCCTGGCAGACGCGAGCTTGCCCCGCTTCGTGTATTGGAAGGAGAAACTCTACGCCCTGCCTGGGGGCTTGGGTGACATCCCCTTCTTCAATCTCCTATCCATACCCGGACGTATCAGGGCGGGTCTGGGGGCTCTGGGCTTCATTCGAGGCCCGCCGAAGGATAAGGAGGAGAGCGTCAAGGAATTCGTGACCCGGCATTTGGGGGCAGAGACCTTCGAGCGGATCATCGACCCCTTCGTCTCGGGCGTCTACGCCGGGGACCCGAGCAAGCTCTCCATGAAGGCGGCCCTGAAGAAGGTGAAACGCTTGGAGGAGCTGGGAGGGAGGGGCATTCTGGACGGGGCTTTGCTTCGCATCCAGGAGATCCAACGGACCAAGCCGCCGGTGGTGCCGGAGCACCCTGTGTACAAGGGCGGGCAGCTGGGTTCATTCAAGCGAGGCTTGCAGTCGATGCCCCTGGCGGCGGCCAAGGCGCTGGGGAAGGAGAAGGTCCGGCTCTCCCACAAGCTCTTGAGCGTGGTGGAAGGGAAAGGGCCGAAGGGTGGCTACGAGGCGGTTTTTCAGACCCCCCAGGGACGGAAACGGATCAAATGCCAGGTAAGTGTGAGGGCTGACGACAGGATTTACGAGGGGAAGCTAGTGGCCGGGGGAAGGGGGGGAGGGATATGTAAATGGGACAAGCCAACAAAAGCTTGGGACTTGACTGAGTCTTTTTCCCCGGGTCCTGTAGCTTAGCTTCCTTTAACCGGTTTCTCATATGTCTCCCGATTGGACGCACTCCCCCGTGGTAGTCTTTCCCCCCTCCCGAGCCCCGCTATCTTTCGCCGGCGGTCCCTCCCTTGCTCACCTTCCGTCCCTGCCCTTTTCCTTGTCCCCCAGGCCCTAGCCATCACCGCCCCCGCCCACGTTGTGCACAAGCTCCTGCGTCCTTTGGTCCCGGAGGCGGCCCGTCTTGCCGACGTGTACTATCCCCCGGTCGCCTCCGTCACCTTGGCCTACCCGAAAACCGCCTTTCGGGAGCCGTTGCGGGGTTTCGGAAATTTGATTCCCCGGAGCATGAAGATCCGAACGCTGGGTAGGCGGGAGGGAGGGAGGGAGGGGGGGAGGGAGGGGGGGGAGAGGAGGACTGGTTCGGTCCACACCATCTACCAGGAGAAGGAGAGGTTCGGATCTAGGGAGAGGCAGTCGAGAAAGGAGGAATATGCCAACGGGAGGGAGGGCGGGAGGGAGCGCGACAAAATCCCTGGCGTTGTCCATGCTGAGGGAGGCAGTTGGGTGGAAGCGCTCCCGCGGAAGTGGAAGACCCTCAGCGTCTCCAGCACCCTCTCAACCCACTTCCCCTCTTTGTCCCGTCCCTTTCCCCTCCCCTTCAGGGACCATCTGGTCGTCCTCCCTCTTCCCGGGCGGCCCCCCCGACTACAACATGCTGCTTTCCTACATCGGAGGGGCCCAAGATCCGGGTATCGCGGAGCTGAGCAGCCAGCAGATCGTCAAGGAGGTAGACAGGGATATCAAGAAGGTCTTGCTCAAGCCCGACGCCCCGGCGCCCAAGGTAGGTGGTGTTTCTCGTGCCCCGCCTCGGTGTGCGTGTCCGGAGCTGGTGAGGATGGAATAGGGAAGGGAGCGAAATCCGTGGTATCGGCAAAGGCCTGACTGCGCTCGATCCGTGCCACCGCCGGCATGGATGCTTGGTTGGGGGTCTGATCAGCACGGCAGTGCGGGGACTCGAGCCCTCCCAGCCCGCTCGAGGGCCCTGCCGCCACTGCAGCGGCGAAGCACTCCTGGCAAAGGCGGGCTTCGTTGGCTCTCCCCATGGAAAATGACCGCTGACCGATTCCTCTCCCCCTACTCCCAGATCCTGGGCGTGCGGCTGTGGCCCACCGCCATCCCGCAGTACAACAAGGGCCACCTGGACATCCTCGCGAGCGTGGAGGCAGGGGTCAAGAAACATCCGGGTCTCTTTTTGGGGGGGAATTACCGAACAGGCGTGGCGTTTGGGGACTGCGTGACCTACGGGATGGAGGAAGCGGGCAGGATTCAGAGCTACTTGGCTGCTAAGGCTCCGGCACCGCAAACCTCAGTCCCTCCTTCCCCTCCTTCGGCCCTTGCGCCCGGCCCCGTGGCAGTGCCCTCTTCCCCGCCTTCGTCTCCCCCTCCTGCCTCAGACGCGTCCGATTCCACGGCTCCTGCCGTAGCGGCGGCGGCGGCTGTCTCGACCGTGGCAGGGATGGGATCAACTGGAGGGAGGGAGGGAGGGCAGCCGCGGGTGCCTGAGGGGGAAAGTAGCCGGCCGCGCACGGTGGTCGCGGCGGAGGAAGGGGGGGAGGGGGGTCACATGCAGGGTGGGGGAGGGGGAGAGAAGGAGGCCGTGCCGGCGGCGCGGGCGGATTAGGGTTGGGTAGGAGGATGAGCATGAGGGAGGAAAACGATGTCAGAGAGAGGCTGCTGTCAAGGAGTGGGAGGGAGGGATGTGTGGAGTAGTGGACAAGGAGTGGAGGAGAGAGGGGGGCTGGGGAGGTGAGAGAGACGAAGAATGAAAAATAAGGGAAGGGCCATGAACAAGCTCAAGGCGTTAGCTTTCCTGTCAGTCGTGTTGGTCTAGTGTCACATCCGCAGGTAATGGGCCGAATAATCCCTCCCCCCCTCCCTTCCATCGCCTTCAGAACCCGTGTGTCATCGATCCGGCTTACGTACAGTTCCTGACCACATCGTCGGGCTTTCCCTCACACACCCGCCATCGAGACCCCCCCCCTCGATGGCGGTAGGGAGCCCAGGGGGTCTTCCTCCTCCTCCTCCCTTGGCGGTCTCTCCCCCCTTCCCTCCGTCGGGCCTTGGCCGTCCCCGCCTCCTTCCTTCGTAATGACGGGCGACGGCGCGGCGCCTATGGAAAAAGGAACCGTTTCCTCCCGACTTTTTTCCACCGCCCCCCCGGGCGAGCGAAGGATCAATGCCTGAAGGAGGGAGGGAGGGAGAAGGGGCGGGCGTCATGCGTCATTCTCCGGGCGGTGACAAGACCGGGTCCTTTCCTATCCCCGTGCCTGCTCGGGCTTTTCCCCTTTCCCCTCTCCCTCCTCCTCCCTCCCCTTCCTCCCCCTCCTGCGTCCCTGTCTCCGCCCTCCCCCTCACTTGATTCTGGAAGGAGACGTCGCACCGACAGTGCCTGAGCACGTCGAGCCCGATCACGAAGGGGGGGGACAGGGAGTCGATAATGGAGATGCGCGTCTGGATTTGGAAGCGGCCCAAGCTGGAGGAA